TTGCTTTCCTCCAGTCCTCAGGTACCTCTCCAGTTCCCCACGATTTAGCAAAGATGATGGCGAGTGGCCTGGCAATGACATCCGCCAGCTCCCTCAGCACCCGCAGATGCATCCCATCAGGACCCATGGACTTATGGATGGCCAGGTTGCTTAACTGGTCCCTAACCAAGTCCTCATCAACCAGACTGGACTCCTCCTCTATCCTGACTTCCTCAGGAGCTTCAGGGTTCTGGGGTTCATCAGGATAGCCTGCAGCAGTATTGGCATTCAGTAACTCTGCCTTCTTCTCATCCTCTGTCACCAGGGCACCCTCCTCATTCATCAGTGGGCCTACATTGCCTCTAGTCTTAGTTTGATCTGCAATGTATTTGAAGAAGCCCTTTCTGTTCTCCTTGACCTTGCTTGCAAGGTTTAATTCCCTGTAGTAGATGAGCATACGCTGAATCAGAAGGATTTCTTGTGCTACATTTTCTGTGTTCCCGGGCACAGAATTCTGGAGGTTTGCTTCCATGTAACTACCAAGCTTCTCCGAACTGCGAGTGTCACGGGCATCTTTGGTAAAGACAGTTACATGAATTTCAAATTTCTGAACATATGCTCTTCTCAAAACTTCTCAATATACGGTATTATCAGTGGTATGAACAAGAACTCCTTCTTACAGGCTCCTTAGTTCTTCTAACGGAAAACTACCTTCCAGTGCTCTGTCCCATGGGATTTCTCCTAGCAATTGTTTGAAAAGATCAAAGTTGGCCCTACTGAAGTCCAGGGTTCTAGTTCTGCTAGGTATTCTCTTCCTGCCACATGAGATCCTGAACTCCACCATTTCATGGTCACTACAACCAAGGCTACCCTCGACCTTCAGCGCTTCAACCAGACCCTTCTTATTAGTGAGAACAAGATCCAGCAGCACTCCTCTCCTAGCAGGCTCATCCACCATTTGCATCAGGAAGTTATCATCAATGCACTGAAGGAACCTCCTGGACTGTGGATGGTTGGCTGAGCAGGCCTTCCAGCAGATATCAGGACAGTTGAAGTCCCCCATGACAACCAGGGCCTGCATTTGCGAGACCGCTGTCAGCTGCCTGTAGAAGGCGTCATCACCTTCTCATCCTGATCCCATGGTCTGTAATGAGAGCTTGCACCCACAAGCTCTCAACTTGCTCCTGATCCGCCCCTAGACAGAACTCAATGCACCCTAGTTACTCCCTCACATAAAGAGCAACTCCACCACCTCGCCTTGCTGGCCTGTCTTTCCTGAAGAGGACATAGCCATCCATGACCACATTCCAGTCATGCGAGCTGTCCCACCAAGTCTCAGTAATTGCTACAAGATCATAACCCCCTGATCGAACACAGATTTCTAACTCCAACTTTCAGGTCTGCCTCGAGGCATGTTGCTAAGAAAGCTGATGCTTTACATCAGCATGGTTACTTCAGAAAAAATAAATGCAGTTTATTCTGGCCTCTGATATTGTAAACTCACCATCTCTACTATCCAGCTTTTTGCTTGTTCAAAAAACAATTGAAATGGCTTTTTTCTTTAAGAGAATTATCTCATACCATACAGCTATTCTAGGGTGTTTTTTTTTGTTTCATAGGGTTTTTTTTACTACTTTACTATTCTATTTTTTATATTACTGTTTTTCTACTATGATTAATAGTAACAGGTCATAATCCTTTGACAAAAGAACAGAACTGACAACACAGAAGGAAAGAATAAAGAAATAACTGCCTCAATACTAAATCTATGAGGCTTTGAATTTATTAATCCTTTACTCAGCAAGCAGCGACAGAAAATGGACTAACATTCAGTGGTCAGAGCTCTCCTCTCCACTATTACCAATGAACTAACACAGCAAAATTTCCTTACTTCTGACCAGTCCAAAGTGACCCACTGTGGGGGACAGGACTGATTGTTACAAGGCTCTTTTTCAATAGGCCGATGTGTTAAACAGTTGGTAGTGTCCAGTGTCTCCTCCTCAGAAGGTCTGATCTTTCTGATACAGAGAACCGTTCGTGAACGCATTCCTCCATCACAGGTCTTACTGCATTCTGACCAATCTCCTATAAACCATCTGGATAGAAAAAGTTAGGAGACTCAGTTAATGCATTTCAGAAACAGAGCAGATAATTGCACAAACCCAGAATCCAAATAGTTTAAATTACTAAACTTACATCATTGTTAACAATACATATATTCACAGTGAAATAAAGCAGAAAGTTATGGGTCTTTTTATTGAACATTTTAATTTATGCCTCACTGCAATCATATCTTCCAATAATACTACTACTTTATATTTTTCTAAAGCAGCGATTTCCAGCCTAGGCGATAGTAGTTAGAAAGGAGTGTTGAGCCTGAAAAAAATGCAGCTATTTTAAGTAGATTTGTATTGAACTTGCCTGAAATTATTTCTCTGGAAGTAGTTTTCAACTGGAAATGTTTGGGAACCACTGCTGTAGGTCACAGCATAAGTTAAAAACCAAGATGGTTGCCTCTCTAGTATCATTACAATAAAATAATTTGATCTCAAAATTGGACTTTTTGAGAATTAATTCTCATTTGATTATGAATTTTTTAAAATCTTTTTTATAAAAGGCTATACTGAAATGCAAAATATTTATAGAGTAAGTAAAGCGAACGGTAGTAAAACATTCATTCATTATATAAAAAAAAGACCCCAACAAGTATTCAAAAAATTTAAAGCACTGCATGATAGCTGCTAGAGGGAACTTCTGAGTCTTTGCATGTACACAGTAAAAGTCAGGAGTTGTACAGTATATTTAGATTACTTTGTGTGGCAATAGAGATTAAAGCAGCTGTTAATCAGGTTGTAATGTTTGGAGGTTTTTTTCCTACTGATGGATGGTTAATCAGCTCAATTCACTGAAAACATCTCTTACATTGTCAAGCAGGACTGATCTTCAGTATTTCGTATGTTGATTAGATACACTTGCCTGAATCATGCTTGGAAAGGATGAAGATAAAGCCTAGCATGCTATCACATATTACCAACATGCCAAAAACGCCAGCCATGCCAGTCACTGTGATCTTCCTGAAGGTCCTGCTTGGAGCTGCCTCACAAGATTTGTCAAAAAAAAGTCCTGATATCCTGTCTTGTGTTTCTGAACGTGTAATATATTCTAACACGAACCCAGATCAATTCAGAGATGCAAGTAAATATAACAGAATCATAGAATCATAGAATGGTTAGG